TTCAAGAATGTGTACAGTAATTAAATAAATGTATAAATCTAACTAGAAGAAATTGTCATGCCTTTATCTAACACCTTCACTGTAAATCCCATAAATGAAGTAAGGGCCTATATTGCTAGGACACAAGACTTAAAGTCAAAACAACATCATAACCTAACAGATTTTTACTTGCCTAAAGAACTAGATATTTTTTAAATCTAAGTTCCTTATTCACAAGAATGACAACAACCCCCCTTTTGAATTTGTGCTTCATTTAGATTGTTTCATTTAGAATTATACTCAAGAGTTATAAACTTGAATGAAAATATTTTATTCATAATTACTACCTTCAAGTTCTATATTCTTAATATGAATTAGCCATTTTTCAGTCTATAGTTTCTTCCTATGTAGATCTACATAAATAATTAAATTACATAGTTATTTTTAAAGATCAGTAAATATATATATATATTTATATATATATATATACTAGAGGCCCGATGCACAAAATTTGTGCAAGGAGTTCGGCCCTTGCAGCCCCGGCTTCATCTGGAAGGTTGTCCGGAAGGACGTCCAGAAGGTCATTCTGCTGCCCGGTCTAATTAGCATAATACACTTGAGATATATATATAATTTACCCTCTTCAAAAATGTTCATGTAAAACTGACATTATTCTATTTAAGGTGTGGAGTATTTTAGTGACCATTTTAGTTATTTCTGTTTAACATCTCAGTATTTTCTACATTTCTTCTGTGTCTCAGCTTACTTTCTATATTTGCTTCCTTTCACTTCTATTTGCATCTGAAACTGTTTTTGTAAGAACTTTGTCAATTACTTGTTTTAATGTTGTTTTTCTGTTATTCATTTTGTAAATTGTGTTTCTTGTCTTATAATTACATTTTCCCAAATTAAATTGAATAAAATGTTCAATTTCTTGATACACTATACAGTGATAGGCTGAAGTAAGTTTGCAGTTGTAAGTATAGGAAGCACAGAGTTTATTATTGTATTATTTATTTGTATTAAACTGTAAACCTGCTTAAGCACACTCCTGTGTTTTATAGACTTCTTATATCGACTTTACTAGTAAATGGGAAAGAATGAGAAGTACTGTAGGAACAAAAGTCATATCATAATTTGGACTCATTTGGAAATCAATTGTATTATTTTTAATCACAAAACATAAATTATATCATAACTTTATTATTTTTAAATGTCTCCTTTTAATATTAACAGAATTACAGCTAATATAAAGTCCCAAAGAGCATTGATTTGCATCTGTAATCCCCTTCAAAGATCAGTTCTTGCTATTATAAGTCAATCAAAAATCAAGTTAAGCCTCTTGACATAATTGGAAGTTTCAAAGAGATCTGAAGAGCATAATTTTCTGTAACATATGTCAAAGCTAGTTGAGAAAAATGCCATGGGAGCAGAAAGGTCAAGGGCTAATCCACTCCAAAGTCATTAAAGATCATATTTAAATTGCTTCGGAAACTTCAAGGTTTTATAAGCCACCATCAAACTCCCCACCAGAACAAGGTGGCTGTGCCATGGCGGCTGGTCTGTACAGGGAAGAGCCTTCCTTTCTTCATCATGTTGAAATGAAGCTTTGTTTTTCCAAGTTTATTTTGTCATGCACATGTTGTCATTACATAGATTTAGTTACATTTTAAAGCAGAAATGTATTGTGTTATAATAGGACTTTTTTAACCTAAATGAGACTATTTCAAATTGCAGTTTATAAAACCATATTTGCAAAACTAACTGTATTGCTGTTTGCACACTGCCATTATATTCAATATTAAAGAAAAGGAGTTCCCCATTTATTCTAATATGTCACCACCATTGAAGACCTGAACAGCAACATAAGGAATTGCTGAGAGAATTTATGCTACAACATGAGCATATTTTTAATAAATTTTCCTGATAAGATAATTGCTTTATTTTCACTTCATTTTGGCACTGGAAACCTATTTTAATTTAAGGCATTAAATTACATTAATTAAAACATATATGACCCTCACCAGAGTGACTCAGTTGTTTGGATCAAACCTGAAATCCAGGTACCTGCCCTTAACTGGGATTCAAACCCATGACCTTTCAGTGCATGGGCTAATTCTCAAACCACATCAGCCAGGGCTCATAATAATTTTTAAGTTAGAAAAGTTTGCAAAGATGAAAAATAAAATACATAAAACCATTGATAATATGAAGTGTTGGTGAGGTGAAAGAGAATGATAATCTTAAAAATTACTAGTGTAAGTGCATCTAAAGTTTGCTAACCTATTTTTGGAAAGATTTTTGGCATTCTAGTAAAACATGAAATATTTGACACAACAAAACTACTTCTAAGATTTTTCCCTTCTGAAATAAGTGCAACAGCAAATAAGAATATATTACAATAATATTTGTTACAGCATTAATTGAACAAAAACTAGAAACAGTAATGGCCATTATTTAAAACCTGAATAAATTACTTAATATCCATATTATGCAGCTAATACATTTTAAAACACAACTTAGATCTAGAGATGATGACCTTAAAAGCAAGTAGTTGCAAGATATTGTTTAGAGGAGAAAAAAGCAAATTGTTTTTTAATGTGTGTAGTGTGATGCCATTTTGTAAGAACAAGGGAGGGGAGCAATATATAATGGTGTGTATAACTCTAATGTAAGGCCAGATTTATGTAACCTAAATTTTATTTAAGTCAAATCAAGTATAAAAAGATCTAAACATCTGGATTGGTTTAACACTCTATATTGCTGTCATGTCGACATTTTGTTTAAGTATTTAATGTTTTAGACAGGAGAAACATACGAGTAAATTACTCTCTTTTGATATACTGATTTTTTTTTTTGGTATACTGATTTTTTAAAAAGTTCAAATGCTAAAATAGGTACTGGGTGACTACAGGTGCCTCCTAAAATTCAACTCCCCTACTAATATCCAGGAAAAATGTACACTTTTCTTCATCAACATCTCTAACCAGAAGATAAGCTATGGAGTAAGAGAGATGGACAGCTTTTTAAGTTATATCACCAATTCTTGCCCTCTTTTCAATTCCTAAGATCCTGCTCACCTTAGGAAAAATATATATATTTGTATATATAATGTTATATAGATAGATAGATGATAGATAGATAGATAGATATTTTATACTATATATAATTGCTATAGTATATATAAAATATTATACATATATCTTAGTCTGATCAGCTGCCATAACAAAATACCACAAACTGGGTGGCTTAAAAGACTGAAATGTGTTTTCTCACAGTTCTGGAGGCTGAAATATCCAAGATAATTTATTAAAATAAAAAGCATTCTGTGATGTTCAGGTGAAAATTTGGACGTGAACCCATATATGGCACCAAAGAAAAAATAAGATGCATTGTACATAGACTTTGAAAATCCAAGTTTTGAAAGAGGCCAGTATTATTCAAATATGTTTCATACCTTCACTTCCTTCATCCTCATCCTATTATTCCACCCACATCTGGTGTGAATGGAGAGAATGTTTGGTATAAATAATTGTAGATTTATGGCACAAGAAAATGTGAACTGTGTACCCAGGAGGCCAAGTCATTTAAGCAGCTGTTCCTGGACTATGTTTTATTACTTAGGATTAGAACATGATGATACAAAATCATTTAACATGTCCCGGACCCCCAAGGAAAGTAGAAACTTGCTTAAATGCTCTCGAACCAACCACACTAATAAGGAATTAAATTGCTTTGGAATCTCTACTAGGAAATTCCCATTGGAGATGTTTATGAGAGAAAAAAACTACATGAATAAGGTAAGATTTGTGACAGGGACACAACAGATCATTTTCCCTAAAGAACTCTTTCTAGAAAGCAAGAGTGCATGGTTGCAGTAAAAAGAACACTAGGCAGAGATATTCAGCATATGGAAATTTATATCATTATATCATGTAGGCCTGATATCACCTTCAAGGGGACAAAAATTGGTTCTTGGGGAGAGTGAAAAAAATTTAAGCAATTACAGTGGTTTGTGATCTTCGAAAGGACTTCAGGACATACACAGATACACAGTGTATCTGTGGTGCTATAATTTCTTGGGGTGAAGGTGAGGGCAATTATCGACAAAGGTTCATTAGGGAGATGATTGTTTAAAAACAATTACTGTTACTGGTAAACTATAACATGAATATATAGAGCTACAGACCAGATTGCAGTTGCTAGATAAGAAAACTTGGCTAAAACACCCCTCATTTATAGACCACCAAATGTCCAACTCGAGGAACTCTAAAGCACTCCCCAAACTTTGAGCTGATACAAGGCTTATATTCTCTTGGCCCTCTCTCCCTCTGAGTTCTTGCTTCTGTCTGTCAGTCTCTGTTCACCCCTTTAGGAAACAGAATGTGGAACAATTTCTGCAAAATATTAACATGTTAAAATGTGCACAAAACATTTATAATAGATTTGGTAGAATTTATTCTCAAGCTGGGCATGATAGAATAACAGAGTTCATTTAATAATAAGCCACATTACAGTACAAATCAGGCATTTATGTTCTTCAAAGCCCCTGTTGGCCAACCCACATGTGTCTCTAGGCCCTTCCATCACAGATCATTAGACCTACATCCTTTCTTTTTTTTTTTTTCTTGTCTCTCATGCATGCTGAACCGCACCCCATCCTGTCCCCAAACATACACAAAACTTCTCTTCCTTTCACTCAAAACAGATCAGCTCTCTTCCCTGGAATATTTGAAGCAAATGATTTCTTGGTAACATCTTTAATTCTTTGATATTTTAACTCCTGGCTTAATGTCTGTGATGATTCATTTTATGTGTCAACTTGGCTGAGCTAAGGAATGCCAGATAGCTGGTAAAAACATTATTTTTGGGTGTGTCTGTGAGGGTGTTTCTGGAAGAGATTAGCATCTGAATCCATAGACTGAATAAAGATTACCTTCACCTAATCAACCAAGGGTCTGAATAGAAGAAAAAGTCAGAGGAAGGGCAAATTTTCTACATACTTCATCTGGGACACCTACCTTCTCCTGCTCTTGGACATCAGTGCTCCTGGTTGTCAGGCCTTCTGGCTCTGACTGATATACCATTGGATCCCCTGCTTCTCAGGCACTGGGGTTTGCACTGGAGCTATTCCACCAGCTTTCCTGGGCCACCAGCTCTGACAGCCGATCCTGGGACTTCTCAGCCTCCATAATCACATGAGCCAATCCCTCATAATAAATCCCTCTCTCTCTCTCCCTCCCTCTCTCTCTCTCTCAGTTTTGTTTCTCAAGAGAACAATGACTAATACACCATAGCTCATGCCATAACTACTCCTGTTACACTTCTAGATGATTTAAATATCTACATAGATTATGCTATCATTTTTCTGGCTTCTGAATCTTTCACCTCTTCTCCCCAGTTATCTTTCCCCATTTAACCTCAGCCACTTACTTTAATATTTATAATGTAGGCTTTTTATTACCAGTAACTGTACCCTTCCTATAGTTAAATCCAAGCATTACCAGTTTTTGAACATCACCTCTTTCTATTTCTCATTCTGACTGAAAAAATACTGAGATCTCCAACTCATTGAACTACAACCATTTCACTTCCCCTCCCTGTCCCTTCTCTAGTTTTCTAATTCAATTTATATTCAATGGCAATCATTGTAATCCTTCCCTTGCAAAAACCCTAAACCCCCTCCATCTTCTGTTCCACCATCCTTATTTGGAAAAAAAATGATAATAATATTAATAAAATCACAAGCCTGGTTAAATGTAACACTTCTTTCTTCATGCCTAGACTATCGTAGCTGAACATGGCTATAGAAAAACATATCCTCAATGATGAATCATCGCCCTTTAAATTTGTGACGTGGAGAGAGCCTTTTTCCTGCAGGATAATTCTATTTTGTTTTCATTTTTACTTCATTAAATTATCCACTCTACATTACAACTTCTTACACTTCTTCTCCATTCCCATTCTCGCTTTCCTCACGGAGAATGTTAACTATCAGGAGGGAAGTTCCATAGATTTTTCACCCCCCAAGTCTCCCTTGTCTACATTTGTATCCTAATATTTTGTCTTTCTGCCATTACCATAGATAGACTATCTGTGTCCCTGTCTGAGGACAAATTCCCTACATTTCCACACTAAACCCTATGCTCTTCCATCTACAAGGAATGGCTCTAGAATTCTCTTCTCTACCTCCAAGGTTTTCAATATAAAAACTTTAGTATATGAACATGCATCTTTTGTTCTAATGAGGCAATTCTTAGCAGCCCCCTAGACAGCTTCTGGCTGGGAGCTGGGAGCCAGAAAGACCTAACCTTGACTAGAAGCCTGGACCTTTCAGCCCCATCTCCCACAACCTCTGGGGAGGGAAGAGTGCTGAAGATTGAGTTCATCATCAATCATCCCTACATGATGGTGTGTGGCGAGCTTCCAGGTTGGTGAACACATAGAATTGCTGAGAGTGTGGCATGCTGGGAGAGAGCCTGAAAGCTCCATGCCCCTCCCTTCATACTTTGCTCTATGCATCTCTTTCATTTGGCTGTTTCTGAGTTGTATTGTTACGGACCAATGTTCGCGAGAGTAAGACCACCAACTCCAATTAGGTCTTAGCAGCAAGCGAGGATTTATTGAAAGCTGGCCAGCGTCTACAACAGGTGCCTCCACACAGGGAGCCCCACCCTGCTACAGCCCCGAGCCTTTCTCCAATAGCCTTTTTAAAGGGTGTCACAAACTCGACAGCGGCCAGTAGGGTGTCACACCTGGCTGGAGCTTTTAACCACAACCCATTCTTTGAACAATCCAGTGGAAACTACCTACTCTTTGAAAGTTTACAGATTGGCATCAAGATACATAGAGTACAAAGAAGTTACACAATTTTCTTTACGTCAGTTAAAGGTTACATATCTATACCCATTTCACTATATGACGCTAAGCGTGCATGCCCGTCACAGTATCCTTTATGATAAACCAGTAATGGTAATTAAAGCTCCTTCCTGAGTTCCATGAGCCATTCTTGCAAATTATTGAACCTGAGGAGAGGTTATGGGGAAGTCAATTTGTAGCCATTTGATCAGAAGTACAGAAGGTTCTGGGCTTGCTACTGTTGTCTGAAGTGGGCACAGTCTTATAGGACTGAGCCCTTAACCTGTTGGGTCTGTGTTAACCCTGAGTAGTTAGTATCAGAATTGAATTGAATCTCTGGACATGCTGTTGTTGTCTGGAGAATTGGAGAATTAGTTTTTGGTATTAGAAAGCACTGCAGAGTAGGAAAAGCACTATTATAGAATACAGTGCTTATTTTAGAACTCATTTTCTGACATTCTCTTTCTGCAATATCAACAATAGATAGTCATCCATCCCTACTTATAGAACTCTATTTGGAAAGTCCCAATTTTTATAAAGGTATATTTCAGAATGAACATACTGACCGGAATTAAGTTAGCCAAATGATACTATCACATCATCTGTAATCAATTTATTTTAATAAGATTAACATTTCCAATTCTCCAATCTATAGCTCCTCTATTATGGTTATCCTTCTCCACTATCCTCTCTAAACCTGTGCCAGTTCAATTCAGCTTTAACCTACAAGTTATTGCAATGGACCAGACATGGTCTGACCAGAGATTGCCATGTGAGAGAATCTTAGTAAATAGGTTGAATGGATGCTGTAATCCTTACAACTTTTTGAGGTATGCATTACCATCTCTGTTTTATAGATAAAAAAGGGTAAATTTAATCTTGCTATACTTTAATTAGTAAGCAGAAGCTAAATTAACCTCCAAGAACTCTCTTAACCTCTTTAAGGCCAAGATGCTCCTCTCCGGCTAATTCTTCCTCTGTTCTCCTCTTTCCTGACTGAGAAGCTACTCATTCTTGTTCTGTGAAGCATTAGGATTCTGCTGCCCTCTTGAGCCTGCAGTATTTTCCTTGTTTTGTCCAATAACACATAGCCATGGTTATTGCAAAACTGTTGGGACGAGCATTAGAACAACCTTAAAATAGGAAGAGTGTGATATGAGATCACTGTCATGTTTAGGAGCAGAATGTCAAATATAGGACATAAACCTTGGGATGGACTCGGAACAGGTTGTTTCTCAAAATATTATGCTCAAAACTGGAGAATCGGATCACTGTATACCAAGGAAAAAGAAGGAAAGGAAAGAAAGATACTATCCATTTAAAATTAAGAATGAATTACCAAAACTGAAATTAAAATAAAAGGCATAAACATTTAATTCATGCTATGGGGTAGATATAGAAAAAAAACTGGACAGGTGCTGTTCTCCCTCTATGATTATAACATTTAATAGTTCAATAAAATAAGTAAAAATACAACTATAATAAAAGGCAAAGTTAGGTAAGTGCAGTAAGACAGGCATAAGTAAAGTGGCATGGGGAGTTGAAAGGAAGGTCATTGCCAAGCAAATCACAGCATAGAAACTGGGACAACAAAATAATATAGAAGGAATTTTGTTAACCAAAGAGCAGACATTTCTTCCTGGCTCTGGGGAAACTGTTCGCTGGAAGGGCAGCCTTCAAAGGCAGCATAACGCTAAACAGAAGCAAGGCCAATATTAAGCGAATTTGATGGCTGCCACAGTTTTCTGCTCCTGGGCCTATAATTTAAAGTCATTATTTGGCCTTTGAGGCTAATCCCACTAGAACAAATCTAGAGGCTGTGGGAAGAGGAGGAGTAGAAAGGGAATGAGTGAGCAACAGAAACTGCGGGTAAAAAAAATTCTGAAACTTAGTATTTAGGTAATCTCTTGGGAACCAAATTCTAACCATCAGAGGTATTTTATGACTGTAATATATTACATTTACTTATATGAGTAGCAGCACAGGTGCGTCTTGGGCTGTAAAAATAAAAATAACCTAATAGTCACAAGGTGGTGGAAGAATGCCTTTTTATTTCTGTTAAATAATGGAAATGCACCTAAGGCTCAGAAACTCCTGGACTGTTGAACAAGAATTAATAGCAATAAGAAACTGGACTCAGTCCTTTTATTTATAAGTGGAGCTTAAATTTTGTGACTATGTATTGTCTTCTTCTACATCACATGCATTTAGTTTGAGCAATGAGTCTGCCTGTTCTAGAAATATTTCTTTCTCTATTTTTTAGAATATATTCATTTCTATATTCATTTAAATATTACTTTGAATAAAGAGACACATATTTAACAAACTTTTATGAGACATAAGATCTTTTGGTTATAAAGTTTTGATAAAGGCAGTCTCCTTTTATATTCCAAGTGAAAAAATGAAGTAGTCCCTTTAAACTACTAATCACATTGACATTGATCCTTATTTTGTTTATGTAAGAAAAGATGAAAGCCTGGTCACTGCAGGCAGGCGACATTGTCGACAGACTTTTCAGCACTCCTACTAATTTATGGCTCTTCAGCGGGAGCTAAGAAATACTCAGGTGGCTGACAGTAGACCTCCCAATGATTTACTCACAACATCTGCCATCGACCACATAGGCTCCATTCAGCAATCAGCTTTTCATAAAATGGTGTTCCTCCCAGCTCCTTCTCTTGGGCTAGTCAGTATTCATTGACTCTGCCCCTCAGGTTGGTATTGAAAGAGTGTGTCTCCCAAGAGAATTACCATGAATAATTTTTTTTCTTTTTTTTAATATTTTTATTGATTTTTACAGGGAGAGGGGAAGAGGGATAGAGAAATAGGAACATTGAAGAGAGATAAACATCATTGGCTGCCTCCGGCACACCCCCTACTGGGGATCGAGCCCGCAACCTGGGCATGTGCCCTGACCAGGAATGGAACCGGCGACCTCTTGGCTCATGGGTCGATGCTCAACCACTGAACCACTCTGGCTGGGCTAAATTTTCTTTTCTGAATCATATTATATTTAGCCAAGTAGTTAAAAGGAAAAAAGGGCAATGAAAAAAATAATAAAAGGAAAAAATCTACAAAAATAATTACAGGATTCTTAACCCTTAGGATTTCATAACCGCTACAAAATCCTATAGTGTACTTTTATTTTTTTAAGAGAGCAGTCTTCCAGACTAAGTATCTGTGAGCATAACCTTGAAGTTCTGATATTTACTTGTAAGAACGATGATTGCAGGAAAGTGAATATAATTACTTTCTATTACCTCAGGGAAAGTAGAAGGTACATGTAAGCACATGTCTGTGGACTAAGTTCAGTAAGCTAATTATGGTTTAATACAAGAAAAAAGATCATCCCAGATTTTTACCTATCATAAGGATTGAA